AGTACTTTTTCAATTAATTTTGTTAGTTGCACAATATAAATATGATCATCACTTTATGTCACATTTAGTGTTAAAATCGAAAGTCCACTATGATGCTCATGGGAGATCGTCACAAAATTTAGCCAATGAAATCAAATGTCCACTATGCTTTGTGGCATGCACTATAACATATAGTTTTCACCTCTAAGTTGGAGATCCAATTGAAGTCCAGTTTATCACCTATTTTTTATTACAAAAACATTCACTGTAATTTATGTTTTGTTGGTTATCATTTCTTAATGATCATCAACCAATTTCCACTATGCTCTCACTGAAATAGACTATATATATGGGGAGTTCTCCAGCAAAAGGTACCTCTTGGTTTAACAGATAGTTTGGGCAATTGGGGAATTTTTTCCAAAAATCCATTAAACTAAGAAATCCACTATATCAAGAAGGTTTTTATTAAGGACCATTCTTGAACTTTTATCTGTAAAACTGAGATTTTTAATTATTATCTGGCTAAATCAAGATTCACTGTGTATTAAACTTTTTTAAGTAACAACCCTGCAAAAATATGTTGCACATATATAAATTATATAAATTAAAAATTTCAAGGCTTGTTGTCTCATTTTTTTACTAAATAAACAGATACTGATTTTTTCAGCAGTTATAGTCCTTATAATATAAATATATATAATGCAAAAAAACTCAATTTGGTCAGAGGGCACTTAAGGTGCCTTTTGCTGGAGAACCCCCATATTGTCTTGGCCAAGTGATGCATTTTCTTTGCTCTTTGCGACGAAGGAGATGCAACCCAAACCCAATTTAAAAAATAAATGAATTTTTGATCTTGTGTAGTGTGGCATGCGTGATTGTATAATAGGCAAAAGACAAAAACTCGCCTTGCGTTCTCAGTTGTAAGCTTGTTTATGTTAACAAAATTCAAATTTTTGTGCAAAAAAGGTTAAAATTTTCAAATTGCTTTCAGAACCAATAATTTTTAAAATTATCTTGATGATAATGATAAAGCTTCACTTTTTATTTCACTATACAAGAACTTTATCTCAATTTTAGAATCATGGTTAGAATAGTATGTATAAAATAAAGACAGGTTTATAGAAAATCATATGTTTTGGGAGTTTTTTTAGGAAAACCAAGTTCTGGGATCCTCTGACCAAAATTGAGTTTTTATAACAAGAGGATTGGTGAAAATTTTATAGACCTTGGTAAAAAAACATATTTCGCAGAGATCGTCACTCGAAAAATTTTATTTGATAAATCATAACAAAACGTTATTTAAATCCAAGATGTCCATCCTTCATACATCACACATAAATTATCAATATCCATTGCCTGTTTTATAATTATATCAACCTATGATTTTGATAATAAGAGTGTAATTTTCTCATAAATTCCAAAACCACATTAAAATATGGTTTAACAAATTGATATCAAAAAGAAATCACAAACCTGGTCAGAAACAGTCATTTTAGTGGCAGAATCAAAATCTTTTCCCTCGAGTTTTGATTTTATTCTTCTAATTACACTTACAGCGAATGTATTTCGTACTTTCGATAAAAATATTTATAGAATTTTGTTGAGTTTATAAATTTATAATTATTAACAAAGTGGGATACAAATACATATACACACCTGCGCCAATATTTTTACCACTTTGAATTTGTTGAAATGGATTATCCCAACCTTCTGCATCTTCTTCAATTATGCCAAGTCCTGAAGAAGTTCTCTTTCCAGCTATCTCTTTTGAAGATTCCAGATGCCCTGCGTTAGATATTTGATTATTGCTTTTCATTATCAATGGATTATTATTATTGTCATTATAATCATTATTATTATTATTATCCACTTGATCATTTTCATTTGATTGTGAATTATCAGATTCTCCTTGATGCCAATCTACTAAAGGATCATAAACAAACGCTTCGAGAAGTATAAGCAACATTTCTTTATTTTTTCTCATAACTCTAAGTACATTTTCACATGCAATTCTAAAAACTCCATCAACACCGGTAACACCAAGTGCCGCCACAATATTTTGAGTAAGACGGAAAGGAACCATTTCCGGGATTCTTAATTTTCTTCCCTTCTCAAAGCATACATTATAATCAATGTGAATAACTTCACCAGCATCAAAATCAATCAGAATATTATCAAGATGACGATCCCCAAGACCAATTATATAACCTATAACTGACATTACTGCAAGAGAGCGAGACATGGACAAACTTTTATGCCACCATTCCGCTGAACTCGTACATGATGACCAAATTTCTTTCTCCAATAAATCTGAAGGAGTTTCAGCAACTAATTCTAAGAATATTGATTTGAGAACGGAATGCGGCCAATTGCGTCTTGATGTCGAAATTGAAAATCCTTCCTTCTTTAAACCTTTGCTGATCTTTTCAAAAAAAATGTCACTAGGTCTTTGTGGATTCTCAACTGAATCTTCGTTATTGCTATTTTGTAAGACTTTAGCAAAATGTTCTCGATGCTGCCATCTCTTGTAAAGTACAAACATTTGTGTAGCATTTTCAACCAATTGGATCATTCCTGAATGATCACCTAAAGGAATGACAGCATAATGCCTTGCATTTAAATGACGATTACAGGATTGTTTGTCGCGTAAAAATAATCCATTAGTAATTTGTAGTAATTGCATCATTCTCTCATCAAGATGAAGATCCTCGAGTCCTTTGAAAAGATAACCGTACTGACGACCGTCAGAACCATAAAGATTCAATTTTTTGGGTTTAGTCTTAGTTGGCAGTATAATAATATTCTCATCAAATGATTGAATCGTTACATGATCAGAATAAGTTGGTAATCCTGGCATGTCAATAAGAGAAGAATTAATCGTGCTTAAAAATGGACTAACTTCTGCCAATTTTAAAGTTCGGCTTGTTTGTAATTCTTTTGATAAATCCTTATGAATCTAAAATAAAATAGAATTTAATTAAATAAACATAAACTCGTATATATATAATATGAATGAATACAAACACTTCTAAAAAAGTTCCATCCATCTTTAATTGTATCCCATGACATTGGTGCGCGTAATTTTTCGAATGCCTTCTGAATACGAGTGCCATAACTTTCACAAAACCACTTTTCATGAGGGGTTGAAGCAACTGCGATTGTTGAATTGTATAGTCGTTCAATGGCAACAATAACAGGCTTCATGGTTACATCATAACTTTCTTTCATAAACTTGATTTTTTGATCTGATGTCAGACTCAAATTATCGTTGATTCTTTCAAATTCATTCTCAATTTTATGCAATCGCTTATTCACATCCAACTGTAAACCACTGATTTTGTTATGCCAAAGTTCCTCCCATAAAACCGTTATTTGCTTAAGTTCTTTGATAACACGCTGAATTTGAGCAAACAATAAACCATTAGTCTTGTCTAAACTTTCTGCGATCTTTTTCAATAATTGTTTATTCAGGTCACTTGTGCCACTAGATGAAAAAGCAACAATCGTGTGATAAACGACAAGTTGAGGTGAATTTGCTGCAATTGTGCAAAGTAATTTGCAGAGTTGTTGTTGAACAAAAACATTTGGATGATCTAATCTTGAAAATAATTGGGGAATAATGTTTTCCCAAACTTTAATACTTGTGTTATTAAATCCTTTAACAAATTGCGTCTCTAAATAACCACCATGTTTTACTAACAATCTTAAAAGTCTAAGTGTTGCTGTAGTAATATCTGATTTTTTATTACGATTATCCTTAATAAAATGAAAATAATCAATAATCAATGACCAATAATCTGGACTAGTTTTATTATTGGAGAAAAGATATTGTCTTTTTTACCTCATTATTGAAATTGGTGTCAAAAACTCTTTTGTTATCAGCTAATTGCAAATATTTAAAATAACCTTCAACTGCGTTTTTATAAAATGTGATAAGATCTTGGTGTAAATTACCAAGTACTATCATGATACTAGTGATAGATTCATCGGAGATTTCTGGCAATATTTCTAAAAGTTCTGAACCGGTACCAGCATTACCATCACCAGTGACAAAATTATTATCAAATTTAGATTGTGATCCGAATTTTTTAAAGAAAAATCGGAATATACTCTATACAAAAAAAAAAAAAAGATAATAATTGTCAATTCTTGTTATCATATCATTAAGATAAAAAATCATATTTTTTGCTTTTTTAAAAAAATACCTTAAATATTATACTCCAATCTAAATTATTATTGTTTTCTTGTTTTAACAGCAACAAGTCTTCATTTATGATTTTTTTAATTTCATTACAAACAACTTCTAGTAAATTCACAGTAACTTTCCCATTCCCTAAATCATCCAAAATTTGTCTTCCATGTTGATAATTATAAGTAGAATAAGCAAACCATGCTTTATCGAATGAACTTTCATAATTAATAGCTGATGACAAACATGATTCAATTATGCCTCTCTTCTTCAAATCTTTAAGAGTCTCATTATCTAATAATGATCTATTATAATATTCAGTATAATCATGATCATAATTATTATTAGTAACAGCAGTATTTTTAATTGTTGGTTCAGTCAGTAAAAAATTCATTTCGGATAAAATTTCCTCGCCAACTTGTAATCCAGAAATTTGTAACCATTTTGAAAGTTTCAAGTATACTTTTTGACAAAATACGATACTGTCTGATATTAAATTTAATGATTCCATTTTATTTTTTTGACGTAGTATAGTGCATACATGGCGAATTGCTTCTTGTTGATTGCCCATAGCAAATGATATTTTAGCACTTTCAAACTTTACTTCAACAGGTCTTTCATGTTTCCAATGTTCTAATAAAGAATTGGAAAATTTAAATGCAGAGCTTTTCCTTGCTACCTTTGCGGTCATAAGATTGAAGATTGCTACATTCCTTTCTAGATCAGCATTATTGATGGATTGCAACGAGTCATTTTGTTTAAGATGACGACTAACTGCTTTATTAAGTGTTGACCAAATTTCTAAATCTCCAGAAAATGAAGTACTAAAAGAAGAAAATTGACAAAAGTTAACGTAGTCAAGAAACTCTATTAAATCCTTCTCGTTATCTTTTATTTCACAGTTTGTTTTAGCCAATAATGAGATGGAATTGATAAACAATGTGTTGGCTTCAACCGAATACTTTGATAATTTTTCCAAAACTGAAGATATTGATAAATTATCATTATTAAAATCCTCCGGTGAACTGTCAACAATTTTAGCTAGACTTCTCCGAAATTCAGACATATTTGTTATGAATTCTGGTCCAAAATATATCGAATCATGATTATTATGATACTTTGGTTGTTCATTTTCGATCAAATTCCATGCAGGAAGATAGTTTCCACTGTTATAATCCGCCAATGCCTCTAAATATCGTTTATTGCTTTCTGTCAAAGACTCCATTGTAATTTCCCAAATGTCATTTTGATCCAACCATTCACCAAGAGATGAAAAGTCATCCATCTTACAATAACTGTTGATGATCTTTTTACGATTATATAAATATATAAAATATTAAAAAATTAAAATAGAAATTATTACTATTACTACTATTACTACTATTACTTACTTGGGATGTGAGAAACCTAAGTTGAGGCATAGTTACTTGCATCTCGGGATCTATTTCAAGAAGACAATTTAAAGATTCAATGCTCTGTTTAACAGAAAGTTCATAGTTTGCTTCTGCAAATGAGCATGAACCATCTGCCCAATAAAAATGAGCAAGAGCAGGAACAGTTTTATTGTTTGGTTTACGCTGAAGTAATACAACTATTATAATAATAATTGATTGATTGATTAGTCGGGTGTTTTTATCAAAGATAAATAAGAATATTATTAGTGTCAAATCAACATACGAGAAGCAGTTGATGGTTGCAAAGTTGAATTGTCATGATTTTTTTCTTCGAGAGATGACTCATTGATCATTGATGAAGTTCCTGAATCGGGATTTTCAAAGTTCAAAAGGATACGTTGACTCCATGCTAATAAGCCAGCAATGCTATCAGGTTCATGTATTTTTTGAAGGCTTTGAACTAAATAAAATATTACATGAAATAATAATATAAAATTATAGATGAAATATGTATAAATTACAATTATTTTATTAGCATAAATAAATTAAAATTTACCAATATTCATAAGTGTTTCTTGAAATTCCATCAGTAACTCCATTCTATTGACAGTTGCTTCGCCTTTTAATATATTGACTTGATTCAAAAGAGACTAATAACAATAATAGCAACAAAGTAAATATACAATCAAACAATCAAAAATTTCACTATTCATATACCTGATAGCCATGTTTTAAAGCCATAGCATCATCTCCAACAATTTTAGCCCCTTTTATAATTCCAGTTCTGACACGAGAAAACCATTCATCACAAACTTTACGATTTGTACGAAAAAATATAATACTTGCACGGGGTGCCTGTGGCAATCTTCCCAGTGCTGTTCCAACAGCTGCATTATATATTTGTAATTCTAACCGATCAATCAAATTTAAAAAATCATGTAATTGATAAATTCTACTGAATCTAAAAAAGATTAAGATTTCTTATTAATTAGCAATTTCAAATAATAAATATACGATGAAAAAAATCAACTCACCTATCATGTATATTGGGATCAGTATTAGAATTATCAAAGATAGAATTAAAATCCTCTTCCAAAAATTCATTTAATTTTTTTTCAATTGCGTCAAATGTCTTTGAAATAAAAATATATATTGAATATATCAATCAAAAAGAAATAAAAGAAACATTCACATATTTTGAATAAATTTAATATTACTTGTTTTGGTCCACCAAAAGGTGTTCTTAATCGAGAAAGCACACAATAACGAGCAACTTCCCATAATATCCAAAAAGTAAGTAACTCATTGGAATTTGCAATTGCTGCCATAACATCAGTATGTGAATATTCTAATAAAGAAAAATGGTGCTTGTGTGAATAACTAATTTTTCATTTATTTTTTAAAATGATTCTTATTTTATTTACCAAATTTGAATTCATCATTTTCTTCTACAATTATTCCTTTCTCAAAATTTTCAATTGTCTGACAAGATTGAAATAATCTCGTTTTCCATGAACCTTTTGAACCAATATCATAATTGTTGATGTCAAATTCCTCTTGACTTGTTAATAAATCCTTCATTCCAAAGTATGTCATAACTATCTGAAAATGAGGTGGCCTGAAAATTCCTTGATGATGCGTAGAAGCAATATTCGACTACATTTAATATTTAATAATTTAAGTTGTTGAAAAAAAAACGATTAATTTGTACTGTTCATTGCAAAAATAAAATAATAATGATAATAATTGTTATTTATTCACCTTGAAAGTCAGTATAAACTTATCTAAAACAGGTTCGAATTTTAAGGTTGCAAAAAATGGATTTATAAAAAATAATATTTTTGAAAACTCATTTTGTACATTAATGTCAGAGTCATTGACTCTACAATAATGAATATAAATTTGTATAAATTTATATAGAAATATATAAATGTAAATAACTATATGTAAAAATTGAAAAATTGAAATACCTATTTGCTATCTTAAAAAAAATTCTTTGATGCGATTGTATGAATCCAAACACATCAAAAAAATTTTGAATTATTTTTGGAACTTGTAATTTTATTTCATGATTTTTCACAATGTCTAAAAAAATAGAGAAAATTAGAAATATTTCATATCTTTAATTAATGATAATAGTAATATTCAATTAATTATAAAAAATCAAACCTACTGGTCATAACCACAAGTGTAAAAAAAATTGGTTCTAATTTACTTTGTATTTGGAATTTTATATCTAAAGAATGAAATTGATAAGATCGAGAAAACGTCAAGACATCTTGAAACCAAGTTAACACCAAAGACAAAGCATTCGATGATAATTCATTTGGGTATTGTAAGAATGAATCAACAATTGAAGTCATAGTTATGAAACCAGATGACAATTTATTATTATGATTTATTTCTTCATTAATAAAATAATTTTGCCTGAAATAAATATTAGATATTAGATATAATATAGATATAATAAATTATATTAACCAATAATAATTTACCGTTTGCATGTGATATTTAGACATCTAATAATTGAATTTAGTAATATAACATCAAAAAAACCATGTTCGCCAATCTTTTCTAATACTAAATAAATCATCCAAAACACTTCATTATTGTGATCTTGTGCACAAGTAATCTCAGAAAGTATCTCAATATCAAATAAAATTATCATTGTGGCAATCCTGTTGTCTATTATATGATCTTTTATTATGTAATCATTTTTATTCAAGAGAAACCTTAAACTATCAAGATATTGGATAAGAGATTTGTCATTATCATTTTGAAGTTCCTTTGATCTCATGAGTTTTGCCCAATTTGAAACTTTTGGTGCATGTTTCTTAGAATCATGTAATAAAATGTTTAACATGCTTCCAATCTCTACATATAATTGATTGACTAGATAATTTTCTTTCTGCTTAAGATGAAAGTCAATATTCACTGCATTATGAAAAAGAGTATGAATAATATCAAAAATATCGGCATGTATTTGTGTTCTATATGATAAAAAATAGCGAAGTTTCATTAATGACGATTCAGGATCTGCCAAAATCAAGATAACTTCTAAATGAATATATGGTGTCCATAGTGTTAAAACCTGTCATTAAAAGTCCAAAAAAAATGATTGGAATTTTTATTAAGTTTCTTCCTATAATATACCTTTATATATAAATATATTTAAAAAAAAATCAACCTGAAGAAAGTTATCAAACCAATCATCTAAACACTGTAATGACAATTCTTTTTTTGAATCAAATTTTATTTGTAGCAAAAAAAACTTTGTGCATAAAACTTGAAGTTTAATGAATGTTGGCTTTCTAATTGTACTAAGAGATAGAATAATTTGATTTCCTATATAAGAGAAACTTATGAATTAAGTTTCAATTGATCAATTTTGAAACAGTTATGAGAGTCAAATTAATAAAAATACCTTTCTCAAACCATGACTGATCTTCATGTAGTTCAGCTATGTTAGTTATAAATTTAATAGCCTTTGATCTTAATTGATCAAAAGGATGAGACATGTCATTTATGATATGAATATCAAGATTATTCACTGATGCTGATGGCAAAATTCCACCAACAGCATCTGCCACCGCATGAAAACAACTATTTAATAATATATAAATATGAAAGAAAGTCATATAATTCAGACAAATCCAAATAAAACAAAACAATAATAATATTACTAATTTTATTTACCTTAATAATGATTTTAGATTGTTTGGTATTCCTTCACCTTCGCCATTACCACTTTTTGATTTTATATCTATTGGTGGCATCTCTTGTGAAACACTAACCTTTGATAACATCTCCATATCAGTTAAGAAGTGACTCATTAGATCATATGCAAAATTTAATTGCCTTAACCAAATAGGTCTTAATCTTTTGAAAGTGTCTATGTAATAATTTGTAATATAAAATTTTAAAAATATTGCTAATAATACCAAGAAATTAATTATTATCATATAATTAATACAATGAAGATTAATTTACCTGCAATAAGATTATTTAAAACATCCGAAATTGAAGCATCAATATACCAACCAACCAATAAATCTATAATGTCCTTTGAAATCAGATTTTATAAGATTTTGCTAATGTGTAATCAATAAATGAAAATGTATGTTTTATTCTTTTTCATATTAATATATATACTTGGAATCTTTCACCAAATTCAGTTGGATATTTTTCAGCTATTTTTTCCAATACTTCCAGGATTCCAGGGAAACAATCTGCACTATCCATAGAATCCAATAAACTTTCAAGATCATGAATAAGTCCAGCAATAGAAGGCTGTAATATTCCATATGAATTTCTAGAAAAAACCTAATTTTAAATTATGGTGTTTATTTGATATCCAAATAAAATAAAACTTTATTGAAAATTATAAATGATAATATATACCTCTCTTAAAGATAATAATATCCAGGATTTACGATCTTTATCTTTTTCCTTGGTACTAGCTGTTGAAGTTTGTAAATGTTCAAATACCCAGCGAAAATAAAATCCAATATCATTACCCAAATTAACTGCTATTTGAGCAAAACATTTAGCAACAGTTGTTTTATATGATAAAGGTGCTCTATATATAAACATATTTAATAGAATTAGACATTATCATCATATTACTTGTATTAAAGATAAAATTCAAATGTGGATTCAAAAAATACCTGGAATCTTCAAATATTGACTCGAACCCAGATAACCCACCAAAAGATTCTCTTGTCACAAAATCAAATATTTGGTTTGCTTCCCAGGCAGAGCATGATTCACTTAGTGTAGATAACAGCTGGTTGATATTTGTCTGACGTCTAGTGTATACAGGATCTGTGTCTTCAAATAGTCTTGAAAATGATGTGTTTATCCGTGATACTTTTGCAGAATCTAGTAATAAAACTCTAGTTTTTCATTTCTGTAGACCATAATATACAGTGTAAATAAACCAATGTTATAATTAATGATACCTTGAACATTTTGCTGTGAGTGATGAATTTGGTGATAGTACTGTCTATGTTGATAATTTGGACGTCTTCTATAACGATTTCGATGTCCACTCATTAATGTTAATTATAATTTTATGAAGAAATGTTTAGAATTTCTTCGCTGTTGAAAGATTGCAATTTGTATCACACCAATTGTTGATTACTAGTGTTCCCAAATTACTATTGGACATTTGTTTGAGACTAACAGTCAGTGTGCAAATCCTTTCTCAAGAATTTCTTTTAACATTTATAACACATAAACTTCTTAATAGATTAAAAAAATGATATATAAAAAATTTTCTTGAAGTTTCAATAAATATTTTGGCACCTTTTATTTAAAATAAAGCTGCTCTTCGAACTCACAATAGTGGGCTAAAATACACACGAAAATTTACACTAAAAACGTTGATTCTTTTCAACAAGGCAGCTTTATACTTATTACAATAGTCAATAAACTAAAGCGAACCTTGTTCTTTAGACTTCATTAGCACCATAAAAACGACTCACTTGACGGAATTTTCAAATATATATGTAAAACTTAGATCTGCTTTCATATTTAAAGTAGGTAAGATAGTTTAATGTTTATTTATTCTTGGATAACAGATGTAA